AATCACAAACCAAATTCACTTATGGATATAGATGGAAAGTTCCTAAATAATATACTTGAAAATAGAAATCAATAATAGTATGCTGCAAGATTACACATTTTGATAGGAAAAAGACATTCATTCTAAGAATAAAACAGTTTATATTAAGTACCTTCTTTATATATCACATCACCAGGTCAAAGTAGAAGCACTGCATAATAATGTCAAATAGATACCCAAAAAGCATTTGATGAATTTCAATATCCATTTTTCATTAAACAGCAAATAAAGTCTTGGTCAACTATAAATGACACATCCTTAATATCAAAGAACTGTAAGTGGAAATGATGCCTAACGCTATTATTTAAAAACAGAAAGAAAATCTATTGAATGTAATAAGAGGAAGAGAATGAAGCAATATACAGGATAAACTCACCCAGAAAAGTCAAAAGAAAGAACAGAATATTAGGATTAAACGAAGTTCAGTAAATATAAAATGTATAATAAATATAATAAAAATCTATAGCTATTCTATAAATCAAGAGTAAAACAATAGGAAAATATATATTTCATAATAAATATAACAATAAAAATTTCTAAAGAATGTACTAACTAGAAAAATAAGTGGATTTAATTGAAGGAAAAAACCTAAAACTTTACTGAAGGGCATGAGAAAAATGCAAATTAAGAAATATACTTCTAGCTCCGAAGTGAATTTTTCTAAAACAAATTTCCATATTTAATGTATTTTCAACCAAAATTCCTTTGAGGTTTCTTTTTTTAAGTTAGAAGTTCAGAAAAGTGATTCTAAACTTCAAAAAAATTGATTGGTGTGGAAACCAAGGAAAATGTTGAAAAGAGGAATGATTAGGGAAGACTGGTCCTATCAACTTTTAAAATATTTACTAGCTAAAATACTTAAAAATGATATGGTACTGGAATAAGAGCAAAAAATACAAAGAAAATTGAGTTCATGAGGCTGCAGAAAGATAAAAGTTACATTACCGATTAATCTTAAGAGAAAAAAAATTATTCAACAAACAAGGCTGAGATAATTGGTAAATCATTCAGAAAAAAATTAAAATTAGTCTCTTATTTTATGGCATCTACCAAAATAAAAACCAGATGGACTAAACGGTTACATGTGAAAAATGAAATAAGAAATATCTAGGAAAAATACATGTGAGTATTTAGCTGCTAGTGGCATGGGGAAGTTCTAAGCATAACAGCAATGTTACAAGCTGCAAAGAAAGTAGACAAGTCAGACTATAGTTATAAAAAAATTAACTAAAATTAAATAATAAACAGCAATCTTGAAAAAATTTATATTTTAATACTTAATGTCCTTAATATACAAAGGTTCATAAACCAGCAATCCCAATTCTGATAATCTACATTAAATATATCTATAATCAAGAATGTTCACTGAAGTTATTTGCAACTGTTTCCCCATTCAAGAACTGCATAAATGGTGAGGTCGAATCTGATTAAACAATAACGAGAATACATATACGAAGAAGAAATTAGAAAAAAATATAAAGAAATAAAGAGTGGTCACTTTTGGTAGTGAGATTACTGGTGCCCATTTTCTTTTTCATACATTTATAACTATCTGCCAAAACTTTCATGATGAATATATCACTTTTATAATTAGAAAAATAAATCCATTAATGATCATTTTCATAAACATACGTGATGATCAGAATGCAAAGGTTTCAATAAATATAAAAAGTTCACAACTGTTTATAACTTAAACTGTCAGCATGCTGAAAGCCCTTTAAGGCTTCCTGGTTCTATTAATATCTTAATTTATCATGGAAATATAGTTTAAAAAAGCCATACTGTCTTAGATTATTTCTTTGTTTTTGTTTTTCTCTAAAAGTGATTTTGATTTTAATGACTATTAAAAGGGCTGACTTTCACACAAGTACATCTAAACATCAATGCAATGAATTACACAAGGGTCCGCATGCAATAGGAATAATTTAAAATAAAGGTATTATTCATATTAATAACCTTTTTTCAATGAATATTTAGAACAGAATCAGTTTAAGATTGGTCATTCTAGGTTTTTTATTCAGGAAACCTTAAGGCACTCCGAATAGTAAGTGGACTAGTCTAAAAGGCCTTTAGAAAAGGACAAAATTTCTTTAAAAATCTTTACAGACAAGAAGTATTATTTTGTGTCTAACTGAAATCTTTCCTGTGATTTAAAACTTTGTTCTTTAAAAAAAAGTATATAGCTATACTCCGTTTTGCTTTCTTGAGACAACATAATTTAAAAACTTTTAACCAGCTATTTCCTTATACTTTGATATACTTGTTGCCTGTCTGTAGTCTATTTTTCTTATCTCTCAAGTTATTTAAATCCACATGGCAAATTATGGTTTTAGGAAATGTATAATCAAAGTTTGGAGCTCCCACATACTACAATTCTGTGGAAACACAAACATACTTTCTTCTTAGCATATGCCATGCTGCTAATATGTTACTGTGCTATGTCTCTTATAACATTCATATTATTTGTATGCATGTATACTAATTAACTGGATGTAAACACATTCATACTTTGAGCAGCTTATTTACTCACACTACGTGTAAGTCCTAGCCAACTTTATTTGTAACTACTTGCCTAACCTTTTCTACCCACTCAGTTTGATATTACTCAAATTTAATAAGTCTGCCTTCTCATGTATTCTGAACCACTCATGAAATCTGAGTTCTAGCCTTACACTCACCCTTAACTAGTTCTGAGACACTGGAATAATCACCCAACTTCTCTGTACTTTAATGTTTTTATCTATACAATGGAGATGGGAGTGTACTAAAAGACTTACAAAATTTTTCACAATACTGAAATTTTATTATCAGTGTCAGAGATCAGACTCCCTTACAATTACTGTGAATTTTAAATTAGTAACCACTGTGGGGAAACAACAGTAAATAAAACATGTTTGTTTTTAACTAAAATAGACTCAGACACAACAGTACTACAGTATGTACAGCACTATACTGACTGTAAGACAGGCATAGTCATTAGCATAATTCTTTCAAATTTCATGAACAGAACTAATATTTCTTTCCTACTCACATTACTATTAAGAATTTCCCTTACCTACTACCTTTGAAAACTTTAAATCACTTTTGTTAATCTCTGTTGCTCTCTACTGAATTGGAAATTAATTGCTCAAAATTGGAGCTCCCACTCACTTCAAAACGATGTTATGTTTTGGTCCTCTTTTGTTTAAGAAAACCATTTAATTTTTCTTAGTGAAAAAAATTATAAAGATTTATGAGAGCCTAAGAAAACGATTTAATAGAAAACATAAAAAATACTATAGAAAAACACAACCATGCCTCGCCCAAAGCAGGACACTTTAAGGAACATAAGGACTGCCTGAATGAGCCAGAGTCACACCCCACAAACATAGGATGCTATCTCTAATAGTGATGGCAAAGGGTTGTGCAGTGGAAGGACATCGCATCAAAAATATGTAACCAACCATCTTATTAATTCATTATGGAAATGTCATACATTAAAATTTGCCTTTTGGGAAACTAGCAAGACATCTTTGGACAACTAGTTCCTCAACATTTCCTACTTTGGATAACTTTTAGAATTTTCAAGCTAAAAAAACCCTCACAACTCTTCAATTGCCTATTTTTACAAATGATGCAACTGGAAAAAGTAGTAATTAAAACACTTGCCCAGGTCACCCAAGTTTAATGGCAGAATCTATTCTCCTGATCATCAAACTGGGGTTTCTTCTTTCTAGTGTCATAAGGGTTATCTCTATTTTCATTAACCTGAAGTTAGTGAAGAATTCATTTTATACACACACACACACACACACACACACACACACACACACACATATAAATAATACATATATATATATGTATTCTTGATGAGAGTAGGAGATGTCTTGTTAATTGTATCCTCTGAACTTATTACGAAGTCTGGTACATAGCATGTATTCAACGGACTGTTGTAATGGAGAAAATGAACGTATAGACTTGAATCACATGCACTCTAGATAGCTTGAATTTTCTTAAACAGAAACAAAAATCTAAAGCTCTTCAGTTTAACTTTGTTCCCTTGATCATTTCAGATATTTTTCTCTAGGCTTTCTCCAGCTATATTATTTTTCTTAATGTGAGAGAATGAGAATTTTGAATGAGGAAAGTTTTCTTTGTAGATATCAATAATCTCACTAAGTGTACTTCCTTTGTATCATCTTACATTGATTAACAGCAGCATTTATTTGACACTTTTTTTTTTAACAACACATTAATGCTTGCTGGTTTAACATTTTAATACCCAGAAAATTCTGATTTTAGTCACTCTGCTAGAATAAATTTCCTCTTCCAAATCAAGTAAAAAAATGTTAAATAAGAATAGTTTTAGCATCTATTAACTATTCTCTATCTGGAAAGGCCCATTAGCCTCTACACTTGTTTCCTGTGTTTAAATAAATTATCTAAATTATTTGAGTGTTTGATATGTGTAAGCCACTGAACTCCCTCCTCCAGGAGTAATTCACAACACTCCAGAAACATATCTTTTTCTTTGGTTGGTAAAGGGAAGGATTTAAAAAGTTTTGGATTCATGAAAAAGGCCTTTAAGAAGTCTAAATAAAATACATGTTTTAGTTTCCCACAGGCACTGATTTATTTATTGCCTTCCACAGTCCTAACCCTAAACATATCCTTCCTGTTATCTTTCAGAACGCTACAGGAATCCTTTGATTCAGTGGTCCTACGCCATTGTCCCTTTACTGTTAGATATCTCTCCTGTCATCTGAAAGAAATCTAGAGAAATCCTTTTATTCAGTAATCCTGTTCTTTGTTACATATGTTACCAGAGAAACTTAGAGATGGAAGGAATTTTGGAGATTTCTCAATTAAACTCCTATATACCACCATGATATTCACCAATGATAAAACAATCACTGTACCCAAGTACAGTACTTAAGTTCTTTAATACATCAGCATGTCTGACATATACACGTAAGACTTACTTGTACTCATCATAGACTTCCTGTTTGGGCAGTGAAGTCTCAGGATGTTCCTCTAAGGTATTCCGAATCCAGAAAAAGGCATGCCTTTGCTGTGCCCGACTAGATGACATGGCATTCTGATCACTAATCATGAAACAAAAACATGTTTTAGCTGAACTGGACAGCAATTAATTGACAAATTTTTGAGATACGCCTAAAATGTTCCACTAAATAATTGTGTGTAAACACACTATGAATGACCAAACTAAATTCAGGACATATAGTAGATGCCCAGTTATCTATATACAAATTGTCCACCTGTAGTTGCAGGCCATGTTCTACAGCTAGTGTCCAACTGAAGTTATTGCCCTGTTCCATCCTCTCTTTAAGTGATGGCACACTGACAACATAAGGTATTTATTTTGGCCAAAATTACCTCTAATTGGATATTTAGTCACTGACTTGCCTGTTCATTTGGCCAAACTTAATCAAATAATCAATCATTTAAAAGTTATGGGAAAAAATTTTTTCTATTTCCTTAGCATTCTCAAGTAACTACCTTGCAATCTTACTAAAGCACTCTGTGCTCCAGAATGGAATGCATACCAGAGAGATCTTAAAAGGACAGATCTCCCCTACTGCCCTTCCGGTAACTGAATCTCCTCCTCAGGCCAACATCTCCATTAAATATTTTAAGTTTGTATTACATAGCAGTGTCATTTATAAACTAATTTCATGAAATGGACAAACAAGATAGAGTTAGGAAGTTCTATCAATTCTGGCATTCATCTCAGCTATAACTTAATAATTGAGGTTAACTATAATAATAATTTATTTAATTCCAAAAAAGACAGTGAGCAAGTTTCTAGGATAAAAAATGATTTAAATAATTATAAAATTTGATCCGAGGGGAAAAAAGTAAATGCAACAGTATTTTTATTCCATTTCTTTCTACACACTATTTTAAAGTAATAAAATGTTAAGTATAACTCATATGAATAAAATGAATCTTGAGAAACACCTAAAAGAGTAAAGAAACGTTAGGAATAGAATACATGAACCAACTTCTCTCTATATTTTCTGAGTTATTAAATATTTTTAACAAAAATAGAGTAATACCAAGTGCTTAAAACATCTTACATTTATCATAAATTCATGTTACATAAAGGCAATTCACTTTTTAAAAATTTTTTTATAGTCTGTGATCTGCTCACCTGACAGTACCTAAAATAGTCTCACACTTACTTTACTGCTCACAATACTTATCTGTTTACTCTTTGGTTTTCTGTTTAATTTTCACAATCTCCTATTAACTGCATAAATATACTGTTTATGAAACATAACCCAAATTGCATTTCATAGCATTTACCCAAGTGCACAAACTGTTAGGTAAACACTTAACCAAATATGATCAAAGACTAAAAGGATATATGCTTTGCCATTGTGTTCTGATGATTTTAGGAAGTGTAAAATAGTAACCACAACACATACACACACCCTACGAGTTTCCTACAAACAGTGTAATTAAAGCAAAAACAAGAAGAGACATACCTTTTCTCTCCATTGCTGAGACCAGAAGGCAGCTGAAGGTAGAGGTAGAGTTTCTCTAGGTCTGTAAACTTCTCAACTTCTTGCTGATTACAAAAAGGATTAAAAAGAAAGATAATTTTAAAAACACTTGTTTCTCCAACACAATTTACTAACACTTCCCTAAAAATATTGACTGTCTAAATTTAAAACAGATGAAATGAATCACTTGCCAAAGAAAACAAAATCTAGGCTTTTTTTCTCATCACTAAAATAATAATAGTTAAGCTGTTTGATAAATCTATTATATACGAAAAGTTAGTAAGAGATAATGGTACTTTCCTATTAATTCTTATTATCTAGGTATAAATAAAAGATCAATGCTTAGATAAAAATTTATCACTTTTAATCACATCTGAGAAGGAAGATTGTACAGCATTACCGGAAAAGTACCAGACTAGGAGTCAAGAGACGACTAGTAGTTGGCCTTAGCCAAATCATTTAACTGACTTTGAGGCTTTAGTGCTCTGGTGATTTTTCCTTTCAACTATAAAATGGACGAGATGAATTCTAGGATCCTTTTCTAATTCTCAGAAATCTAGAATACATGACTCATGATGCTGTCACCTGTAGATGGATCTGAGGTTTAAAATATTGAAGTATGACCACCAACCCTTTTTGCTTTTTGCAGATGTAATTATTCTTTGACTTGCAACAGTAACAGCTATTTGGAGAACCTACTTATAAGACTCAATCATTATTGTTCTGCAACTTTGTCATTTTGTCTACAAATGTACCCTTAAAAATAATTTCTGCTACACAGAGGACTGTATAGCTTTCTTTCCCAACTTATTTACCACAGAATAACTTTAAATGTGCCACAAATCCTATTACAAAAAAAAAATCATAGTAAAATTTTGGTAGCCTAATCAATTGCATTGCAATTGAAAACGTGGACAAATTATTGGCATTCTGGTGGCAGAATTTATTCTTACATAATCAAGCACAGCTTAAACACAGATCCATTAAAAAAAAAAAAAAAGCTTAAAATGACATAACTTAGTCTATTCTTATTCTCACCAGAATTCATCCCCAAATCAGTTTAATCTTAGAATTTATCTACAAAATGATTTATCAATTATATGTAAATAACTCCCAAATCTACATTTTGTTTTATACCACTGTCTGTGGGGTGTTTTCCACTCAGCTCTCATTCTAATATCTGATAGATTCACCAGCAATAGTTTTGGAGTCTGCTTAATTTTGTTCCTCTTGTGCATTCCACTTTAATCTTTTATTTATCCCTTT